TTAATTTTCACACTGATATCTCAAGTACTGATCATCACATTTCAATGAAACTTTGTACATAGATGCTCTAGGACAATGTACAAATATGATCAGTTTTGGGTTAAAATGTGTTCATATAAATACCCTAATTAGCATAATAATTCATAATTCTTGGGTTCTGATCACATTTCAATGAAACTTGGTACATAGATGGTCTGTTACATTGTGCAGACCTTATTAGTTTTACACTCTGTTCATTTTAATTTTCTGATTTGCATAATTAGTTTTCAGCTTTTCCATCAATATCCCAAGTACAAGTAATTTTGAATTAATTTTTACTGTGTCTCTAATACTCTCAGCACACAGGAGTTTTTTCTAAGCTTTCTTTGATCTTTATTATGTCAGGCTAATATCCACTCAATAATGGGATCAGAAGACCAAGTTATAAAACTGATGAAGTCACTTGATGATTCACTGCTGGAAGTTGATAGACTAGAACAACGATTACAGAGCTATGATGAGATGTTAGAGGTATCCATTGTTACCTAACCACCTTGAACTGAATTCACAAGATATTTTTGTCAGATTTTGATTGAGTTGACCGCACAACAACTAAAAGTTGTTTCCCATCAGCAAACTAAATATTTAGGCCAGTCTAAATAAGTCATGCCTGGATGGGGGTTCCAGGGTTGGCCTTAATTTGAATCTCTATTTTCGGCTGGCCTAACTGAAAATAAATAACACAAGTAGGAGATACTGAAATCGAGAGAACATCAGCGTGAGTAAAAAACAAAACTTAAGATTTCTGTGGATGGATTTAAAAGGGATAGTTGGCTACAAAATCTTAGAGGCCAAAAAAGAAAATCTTGTGATATTTTCACAAAAGCATCCATAAAAATGTCTGGTAGGTTTTGGTTATTGTCAAGTTGGTTCTGATCTGGATATCTTGCAAAGCTTGCATTTTGTTGATGCCAAATGTTACTTTATATATCCATTATTGACAATATCAGCATTATGCTGCCTTATTATTATTATTATGGTTTTATTTCAGACATAGTCCATATATAAAGAAAAATATACAAAAAATATGTAATCAGATAAAATGACAAACCATACAGGTTTGAAAACTATAGTAGGTAAACTCAGTAGACTACCTTTGTCCAATGCTGCACTAAGGTAGACTTCCATTTCACATCACTATTGAGCAAGGCACACACAAGCGTATTGCTTGATGTTCATAAGTCAATCCATAAAAGCATAAATTAGCTTTCTATATAAACCAGTAAATGTGTTTGTACGATTTTCAACGAACATAGTGCTTGCACTACAGTCACCAAACAGTTTACTGAAAGCATTATTATAACTGACCTGAAGGGCATTAACAGTAGATTTTCTATACATACACCATAACTGGCAGCAATACAAGCTGGAACAGAATGCTTTAAATAGCAAAAGTTTGACTTCGTTGCAGTTCTTAAATTTACGTAGCATGATGTTTGCCCGCACACAGAATAAACGTTTCTGACAATCAATATCCGCATCGTCTTTCAGGTCATGAGTTATTTTATGTTCTAGATAGTTAAACTGATCAAAAAAGTCAACATTATTATTACATGTATATAAATACAATGGTGGGCAAATGTTCATGCAATTTAGATCATAAAAATGCATAGACTTATTTGAGTTGTAGGTAATGTCATACTCTTCAGCGTATAACTCACAAATATGCAACATTTTGCACAAACCTTTAATAGAGGGCGCAATTACACACATATCATCTGCATAGCTCAAATAACTTTATCGCCAACAAGACAGCTGCACGGCATGTTATTGCGTGTTGCACTGAGATTATTCATATAAATACTAAACAGTGCTGGAGATATTACTCCTCCCTGTCGAACTCCATTGGAAACATTAAAAAATTGTGAGATGGTACTTCCCCATCTAACGCAGTACAACTGGTTGCAATACCAATTTACAAGAACACGAATGATATACACTGGAACATTACGTTCAATACACTTGTTAAATAACATCCAATGGTTAACTCTGTCGAAAGCCTTTGACGTGTCAAGAAAACACATAAATACACTGATACCATAGCGAATGGTTTCTTTTAAGAGCAGAATACAAAGATCTGTGGAATATTTCTTTTTAAAACCAAACTGGTTGTCTGTAGTTTCAAAAAACTTATCACACCTCTTGAGTAATATATGTTCAAAAACTTTTGACAAAACAAATATTATTGCAATAGGACGATAATTGTCTGTGCTGGTAATATCTCCAGTTTTATTTTTGTAATGTCCGTCACACCTTATGACACATTCCCAACAAAAGATGGAATGAAAGTGGCGTATGATTTCGTGACTTCTTTCCAGAACGAGCGTTTATCTTTATTTAAAAGGTGAGTGGTTAGTTTGTCTGCAATCATACGAGAATGTGCAGATTTGCAGTTGCGCAGTGTACGCTTGAATTTGGCCCTCGCTGACCTCATCGTGTCATAAACAGTGCCCTCCTTTGGTTTGCCAGCAAGACGCCACAACCAAAAACTATACACATCCTTAACAATGTCATTCCATCCGGGGACAGGTTTGTAAGATGCAGAAGCCTTATTGCGCACAAAAGTTAAGTCCATCGCTTTTTTAAGAGAGTTGACAATATTCTTGTAATAATCATGAATATTTCTTTTATGGACAGTATTTTGACAGTTAACATGCCTACAACCCAAGGCATCCACTGGTATAACAATGTTATGCAGGCCAATATCCGTGTTGTGAACGTAATAGTTCATTTGTTTGGTTGTCATGTTAGACCAGTCAAGACGTATTGATCGCTCTTTACAATTCCCAATTATTAAGTCGCATGATTTCATGCTACTGCACTGGAAGGCAATGGTCATAGGCATATGATCTGATGCAACATAGTCATACATAATGTTAATATCAATTATTGCACAATATGCAGTATTAGAAGCAATGCAGTCATCTAGCCATGACATCGTGTGATGTGCTTCACTCACATATGTAAAGTTTTCACCCGAATTAGGTAGACCTTTCTCAGATTTGTTCATTTCGTGATGATATTTTCAATTCTCTAATTTTTATGATTATTTTTGTCATTTTTGGTAAAAAGTTATATTATTGACTTCTTGTTGAAAACCGGATTGCTTTGATATACATATAGGTACTATAGGTAGAACTTGCTCAGATTTATTCATTTCCTTGTGATATCTTCAATTCTCTAATTTTGATGAATATTTTTGGTAAAAAGTGATCTTTTCAAATTCTTGTACATGTAGGTACCTCAGATAGGCCTCTCTCAGATTTGTTCATTTCATGATGATACATGTATCTTCAAATTTCTAATTTTGATGAATATTTTTGGTAAATGTGATATTTTCAACTTCTTGTTGAAAACAGCAAGTCTGTTTGCTTTGATACTATATGTATCTCAGCGGAGAGGCTGCTGGTTTTATTTTTAAAATAACAATAATACTGTAAGTTAGATTTGTTTATACTTACAGGGAGTGAAAACACATATGGAGTTAATGCAGCAAAAAGACAGCGTTATTCAAATACAGAATAGAAACAGACATAAACTTCTTGATGAATTAAATACATTGATCAGTCAATTAGATTTATCTCATCAACACGTCAAGTCATTATTAGATGGTAATCTCAGTAGCCCTAATGGTATACTGGATTGTACTGCAGCTGCACATGTGTTATTAGACAAACGCAATGTCAAGCTACATCCTGGTGAGTACCAGATTTAAAAATAGGCAGGTTTTAATTTTTACTGTAAAAGCACTTATTTTCACTGACATTTAATTTTACTATTTTGATGTTTTTAACATATTCACCGTGTTTTAATTTCACAAATTTTTCCAGGAAAACAATTTTATTGTTATTTTACATGTTCATGTAGATTTAACTAGCAGAGTTTTCTTATCAGCGAAAATAGTGGAATTAAAACCCAGTGAATAATTAATACATTTACAATACTTTGGATCTTATCTTACTAACTAGTTGAAATTGCCATTCCATGAAGCGTTGTTGCGAAAACTTTGATAAACTGAAACCAATTTTGACACTTTTTGTTGGCTTTTATGTTTATTAGTATAACTTATAATTCTGTCTCCGTCCGTGTGTCCGTGCGTCCGTCCGGAGTCATATTTCAGAATCCGTTGGACCGATTTTATTTATTATTCTTTGCATGTGCCTAGTACTTTATGTGGGACATATGCACATGCAGTGGTTTAGTGATTCAATTCAAAATGGCCGACTCGCAGCCATCTTGCTTTTTAAAAATGTCATATTTTGGACATGCTTTGTCAGTTTTCATTCAAATTTGATACATAGATTATACATGTTAGGATACATGTTCTCCGACTGTCTGTGTGTGCGTCCATCCATCCGTGCATGCGTGCGTGCGTGCGTCTGTCTGTCTGTCAGTCTGTGTGTGCATCCGTGCGAAGTCATATTTCAGAATCTTTTGGACCAATTTCTTTCATTCTTTGCATGTGCCTAGTACTTTATGTCGGACATATGCACATGCAGTGGTTTAGCGATTCGATTCAAAATGGCCGACTTGCAGCCATCTTGTTTTTTAAAAATGATGTATTTTGGACGTGCTTTGTCAGTTTTCATTCAAATTTGGCACATACTTTATACATGTTAGGATACATGTCCATGACAATTTGTTTCAAAATCGGATCAAGGATGGCCGATAGACAGCCATCTGACTTTTTGGTCTTACTACTATATTTCCAAGATTTATTTAGTCACGCTGCCTTTCAGAAAAAAATCTGGTTTCACATGTTTCATAATCTCAGTGGTCAAATGTACCTAAGGTCTATTCGTACACAGAATGAAAGCTGGTACTTAGCTGGGATCATTGCTTTGATGTGTAACAAAATTTGTTCATATTCTGATCTCATTTATTGAGTATTTGCTTCTTTTCTTTCTCATGGTCAGTGGAACATTGTAAAAATAACTGACTTGCTGTTATTTTTTATATTTTTTATAGCATTTACCAAGATGTCTGCAGTTACAGATCAGCTAAACTTATTTTCCAATTTGACAAAATCATTTGCTACAAGGTTATCCAAACATCTTAATAGTTTGTTTATACAGCAGGTAATATAAAGACTATTGATATGTGAGGGTACTGTGATGTTATACTGAGAATACTGCAAAGTATGCACAAAGGCAGTATGACTGACGCATGACCGAGGTTGATGTATTCCCATACTACCTGTCATGAGTACTTTGCAGTATTCTCACATAGGAATATGATTTTATTGATAAGGGATAATGTGCAGATATCCAATTTGATATTGCACACTAAATTTATAGTGTTGCACTAACAGATGTACAGAGATTGAAGATAAGCTTTCTCTTATTATGTTCCTCCTGAATCTCTACGAGTGGAATTTATGGGTTGGAAAAGTCAATTTATTTATCAATAAATGTTGCACATTTATTGGTGTGACAACAACCACATTGGCTTCTGATAACTTTAGATAATTTGTATTCAAATAGATGTGTTCCGAGATTAGAAGGTTAAACATAAACAAAATTGAAGTTGGATTATTTGTTTATTTTCAGGCAGTATTCAGAATAGAATCTACTTGCTTATTAGTCCCCGTTCGAACGCAGTCCGAAAACGGGGACTTCTGTTTTGACCTCCGTGTGTCTGTGCGTGCGTCTGTGCGTGCGTCTGTGCGTGCGTCCGGACCTGTATCTTAGAAATGCCTGGACCAATCACAATCAAACTTCACACATACATCATACATGATATTATACATATGCACGTCAATTTGTTTCACGATCTGATTCAAGATGGCCGAATGGTGGCCATTTTTGTGCTAAAAGTCATCAAAATCAAGCATTTCTCGGTTGTTTACAGATGGATTTTGTTCAAACTTGGTATATACATTAGACATTATAGGACCTTGATGCAAATTATTTTGTTTTTCAGATAAGATTCAAAATGGCCGACTGGCGGCCATTTTGTATTAATGAATGTGGTTCTCGTGCCATATCTCTGACTTGCTTTCACTGATTATGTTCAAATTTTAAATATTTATTATACATAATGTCATAGATAGACAGATATATTGGTTTGACGATCCTATTCAAAATGGCCAAATGGTGGCCTTTTTAGTCCCCGTTCGGACGGAGTCCGAAAACGGGGACTTATGTTTTGCCCTGTGTGCGTCCATGCGTCCGTCCGTGATCACCTGTATTTCGAACATGCATGGACCGATTATGTTCAAACTT